GTACATTTTGGATGCGTTTTGGACACGTTGCATTGCATTTTGTATCCCTTCCAGTTAGTTTTTTCTACTTTCTTTTTATTCAATTTAATTAGGGGACATGTGCGTTTTAGTACATTCAAGGACGTCTCAATGCGTTCCAGTACAGTTCTGTGCAGAAACAATGCAGCGTGGTCAGCTTTGTTTACAGCACCTGCAATGCACTGAAAATGCAAGCGCTGATGTGAACTATGACATTGACAACCATATAACCTTCTTTCTGTGCGTTTGTGATGCCGAAAAAGCAACTGAAACACATGTAGTGTGAACTGGTCCTAAAGATTATTAGAGGTCAGGGAATGGGACTGACCAGAGATTGTGAATTCAATCAGACTAGTGGTGATATACAATCAGCAATCCTATAATAATGTGAGATCTCAGCTGTAGCTGATAGAAAATGAGACACATTCAGTTGATCAGTAAATAGATTAAAAAGAGTGGGGCGGTGATCCATAGATTTGCATATGGGACAGGTGATGACGGGGTGGGGGAGGGGGTCAAGTTGTATAAGGAGATAGATTTAAAAGAAGAGAAAAAAGTTACAATGAAATATACACAGCATGAAACTTGCACATTTCCTAATTGGCAGAAGAACAGGACACAGGTAACATTCATCCACTTTCTAGTCATTAGGCAAAATCATAATTGATTGATCAATATTCCTGGCACTGACACAACCCAGAAAATTGATCTCCATTTTTTTATCATTCATAAATGTCAAGGAGCTTATAATCTAAGGGCAGAAACTCAGCCATGTACCTGCCCAATGAACCTCACAGCATGTCTTTGAGTGTTGGCAGAAACACATCCATACAGGGAAAGCATGTAAACTGGGATGCAGCCATGACTGGGATTAGAACCCATGACCCAAGTGCTGTAAGTTCTGAGCTCTAACCACTAAACCACTGTGGGAGACACAGTTTGAGATACAATGTAGAATAGTTACATTGTTTAAAAATGATAAAGCGAGCGCTGGTCACATGATATAGACTACTAAAATGGTATTACACAAGATAAATATAACCACGAACAGTAGTGCATGAACTCGTGAAAGGTCATCCCCCCCTGTGACAGTATACTACACTATTAAGCACCTTTCTGGCTCCTGTGGCTGAGCTAATTCTTCCCCAGGACCATTTGGGCACCCACCCTGATGGATGGATGGATGGATGGATGGATGGAGCTGGATGACTAACCCATAGCTGCCAGCATACAGCTGCACCCCCAGATGTGTGATGTGTATAACCCATGCACATTAATACTTTTGTTCTGGTGAGTGTAGACCAGTCCCAAGGGTGGATGACCTTTCACGAGTTCATGCACTACTGTCCTTCACGGAGAGACCACACGTGCCATTCATAGGCACTCTCTGAGTTGGTACTCTCACACCAAGGACATTCCATTATTCAGGAATGATTAGAGGAACTTATTTTAGCACCGTTTACCATTTTACATCATTATTGCAATTCTTTGCACTTTTTGGTTTTTCCATGCGTTGATTATTGATCACATGCATTTATAGCGCCGCACTATGACTGTAACATAGAATAGTTACATGATTACAGAGAAGGAAGATATATCATTATATTGGGAAACTTAGAAGTATTCAAATTATTAAACATTATTATTATTATAAAATTAGAATAAACATTCCAAATTATTTGAGATATAAGTGTGAAAATGTTTAACATTTGAAAATAGAATGTATGAACATTCATTAGTAAATGCATTAGTTGTCTGATCATTTTGGAGAAACAGCAAAAAAAAAAAAATTCTAATACAGGTGTAATATTTATTACATTCTAAAGATTCTCTTTTGCTAACAGGAAAAACGCCAATGCTAATAAAGCCGCGCTTGTGCGCCATCTAGCGAACATATCCGGTATTGCACCTAAAAATGTGCCAGACGCAATACCACATTTACTAATAGCAAAGTGTCACAGACTGCCAGTGCCTCTCCCATCCCCCACCATATCCCTCCACCCCTCCCTCCCCCCTGGCACATTCTGAAGTCTGCTGGGCCGGCCGTTGCCGAGGCAACCTAGCCGCGTCCCACTTGATTTTCAAAAACCCTCGCACAGGAAGTAGCCCTCTCTCTGTTCCTGGCCATGCGGCTGTAACCATCTTGCTCCCAGAAAGATGCTGGGAGGCTCGGGTGAGGGGGACCGAGCCTCCTAGCCATCCCCCCTGCGCACTCTGCAGACCCCCAAAAGGTCAGGACTGCAGCCCTCTACAATACCCCAGGGTTGGGAGTCTCCACAGTTCTGCATGAGCCTTCTCCTCAAAGGTCAGACCCCACAGCTGAGACCCTGCCAGTCTGTAAGCCTGTCTACTGAGCACCCTTGCACCCAGCCTGCTGCTGAGTGTCCCTGGAGCTGCTGCTGAGGGAGCCTGCACACTGTCCGTGCTGACCGCGTGTAGAGCCCCTGAAGCTGTCTGCTGAGTGAGAACTGCCCTGGTGCAGACACAACCATGCTGCTGTCTGCTGATCGCTGGTTGTCCCTGGAACGCTGACCGCTGGTCATCCCTGTGTCTAGAGCCGCCTGTTTCGATGAGGGTCTGCAAGCTGCTTAACCTGTTGTGAGTGGTTCTGAACTGTCCCCACTGTGTGCACCGACCACCCGTGTCCTGAACTGTCCCCGCTGTGTGCACCAACCACCCGTGTCTGAACTGTCCCCGCTGTGTGCACCGACCACCCGTGTCCTGAACTGGACCCTGTTGTGTGCACTGACCACCTGTGTCCTGAACTGTCCCCCGCTGTGTGCACCGACCACCCGTGTCCTGAACTGTGCCTGAAACTGTCCCCTGTGTGCACCGACCACCCGTGTTCTGAACTGACCACCCTGTTGTGTGTGCGCACTACCACCCGTGTCCTGAACTGCCACCCTGTTGTGTGTGCGCTTACCACCCGTGTTCTGAACTGACCACCCCACCCTGTTGTGTGTGCTGCTTACCACCCGGAGTGTCTTGAGCCATCACTACCCGTTGAGTCCCCGTGAACCCAATGACCCTAGAAAGCTGGGTGAGAGCTGTGCTGTGGCCAGTCTCCACAGCTAGAGTCCCGTTGAATCCCCGAGGCCCCTGCCCAGTGGTAGGTTGCCGCCTGTTGCCTGAGGCCCCTGCCCAGTGCTAGGTTGCCGCCTGTTGCCCGAGGCCCCTGCCCAGTGGTAGGTTGCCGCCTGTTGCCCGAGGCCCCTGCCCAGTTGGTAGGTTGCCGCCTGTTGCCCGAGGCCCCTGCCCAGTGGTAGGTTGCCGCCTGTTGCCCAAGGCCCCTGCCCAGTGGTAGGTTGCCGTCTGTTGCCCTGAGGCCCCTGCCCAGTGGTAGGTTGCCGCCTGTTGCCCTGAGGCCCCTGTCCAGTGGTAGGTTGCCGCCTGTTGCCCGAGGCCCCTGTCCAGTGGTAGGTTGCCGCCTGTTGCCCGAGCCCCTGCCCAGTGGTAGGTTGCTGCCTGTTGCCCGAGTCTCCAATCCGCTGTCCAGTCACAAAGGGAGTTCAGCTGAGGCCCAAGCCTAGGGGGGGAGATTGCCTGCCTGTCACTGAAGATCCCCCCCCCCCCGTGTCTGGAATCGTCCCTGGTTTGCGCACACACCCACCCTCCCTGCCATTTCCCTATTGAGTGGGGCAAGTCTCTGATGGAGTGCGGCTTTGAATGAGTGCGAAGCAGTTAAACACAGCACTTTAATTATGCCTTCTCTACTTTCACAGGTAACTGCATCTATCTCCTATCTCCGCTCTTAACTAGAAAAACGCATTGACTCCGGTTATATTCAGAACAAATGGTGTATTTATATTTGTGTATGTTGACCATTCCTCACCTCCAGCTGCACTCAGGTTTATGACTGTAGCCTGTTCCCAATGAAACATCCCCCACTATTCATGTGATCCTTATCAGCTTCTAATTGGGGTGGAGTTGAATGCTCATTTGAGCATCTCCCTATAAATTTAGATCAGCTCATGGGGGGAGATCACTGATGGGGGGCACAGTCTCTGATGGGGGTGCTGCACTGAGCAAGTGCTGCGTTTATTGAAGGAGTGCGATGCAGTTAAACACAGCAGTTGAACTAAAGCAGGAGAACTTCAGCAGCAGGAAGACACAACAACAGCAAGAAACTCTACTGCACGCTGGACAGACTGCAAGCAAACACCCCGGGAAACATCTCTTACATCCTGAGTCCCACTCCGTGTACCTTTATATAATACGCCCCTCTTCTCCTTATCATATTACTATCCTCTGTTCCCAAATCTCATTTCTTTACCCCTCTGCTCCACCCCAAAACTTGTACATCTCCCCCTCATTGCTATCATCTCCCTACTATTGCTCTCATCACCTCACCCCCAAAATGCCTCTTCCACTCCTCCTCCTCATTTTCCTCTCCTCCATTTCCCAAAATCCATTCACTATATCCCTCTGCCCCTCCCAAACAATTTGTATATTGTGTCCTCATTGCTTCCTTCACCCCTCTATGGCACCCACCACCTCCTCCTATTATTCCACTCTCCCACTGACCCCAACACCTCCACTAGGAGTTTCTCACGCTCCTGCACATCCCGCTCCCATGCCACCTTTCTCACCCTTCTCCTCCTCCTAGCCGCGGGGGACATCTCCCCCAATCCTGGCCCTCCACCACCTCCCTCACCCGTACAACACCCTCCTGCCTCCACGTCCTGCCCCAACCCCCGTAACTTAGTATCTGTCCCCCTGCTCCCTAAAATCTCTCCCCCGTTTTCATGTGCACTCCTGAACCCCCCCCCGAAATATCGGTGTGCAACAAGCTCACCGCCATCCACAACCTCTTTGTTTCCCGCTCCCTCAACCTCCTAGCGATCACAGTAAAACCTGGATCCAGCCACTGACTCTGCCTCCCCCATGCTGCACTCTCCTATGGAGGTCTCACCTGGACCCACTCACCCAGACCCAACGGTCGTAAAGGTGGTGGGGTTGGCCTGCTCCTGTCACCGCAGAGCACCTTCCGAGTACCTCCCAAACCCCCCCCTCCCTACCCCCTCTTCCTCGCTTCCACCCGACCACCCACTGCGTCCAGAACTATTTCTCCCCAACCCCCCTCCCCCCCCCCCTGGGTGATATACCGGCCCTCCCTGGAAACCCTCCCCCCCCCCCCTTTCCTGGATGACTCCCCTCCTGGCCGCCCCCTCTTCCTCACCTCCTGAGCTAGCCCCACCATCCCCATTACGCCCCTTGGGGCGATTTCAACCATCCCTGTCAACCTCGACCAACCCCTCACCAGTCCTCCCCCCCCCCCCCTCCCACCCTCTACCACCCCCTCTCCGCCCCCCCCCCCCCCCTGCCCCAGTAGAGTTACCCCTCACAACCCCCCCCCCCTCCACACCACTTCAACCAACCACACCAGTTGCTAAAGTAAAACCTACCCTCCCACCCCCCCCCCCCTCTCCCCTCGCCCCTCCTCCCCCCCCCTTTCTCCCACCCCCCCCCCCACCATACCCACCCCCCCTCCCCCCCCCCCACTCCTTTAGCTCCCCACCTCTCAATCCATGCCCGCCCCTAGCCCCGCTACTGCAACAACCCCCGCATACTTCCCCACTCACTCGCCCCCCCCCTCCCCCCCCACCCCCCCTCCCCCCCCGAAGGATCCCCCCCCCCAACTCCCCCACACCATCCCCCCCCCACGCCGGCTCCCCTGCCCAACCCTCCCCCTCTAAACCCCCCGCTCCCCGCCAGCCCCCTCCTCTCCAGCCCTCCCTCCCCCCCCTCGCCCCCACCCCTCCCTCCCCCCCCCCCCCGCCCCCCTACCCCCCCAAGCCTACACACCACCCCCCACTAATAAGCCATCCCTCCCCCCCCCCCCCCCGCCCACCCCCCCCCCATCCCCCGCCGCCAAAGCCGCACCCCCGCGCCCCTCACACACGCCCCCCCCCCCCCGGCGCCTTAAGCCCTACGACAACCCCTCCCCACCACATAATATCCTGGGACGCTCGCTCATCTTTAATCAGCGCAAAGTGATCGTAAATCTCGGGAATAAAGACACATGCGCCCCAAAATATCCAAGACGAGTCACACTCTCACCTTATCATAAAAAAACCCAAAAAACACACAACCACACCCCCACACCCACGCAACAACCCCCACGCCCTCCACCTCAACAGTCTCACGCTGCTTCAGCCCCACATCGGCCACCCCCCACCCCTCCCTCCTAAACCCTCCCTCCCCACCTCCCCCCCCTTCAACCTTCTCCCTCCCACTCTCCCCCCCGCCCCCCCCCCCAATAGACCCACCCGTACCGCCCCCCCCCCGTACCTCCTCCCTAGCCCCTCGCAGACCCCAGCGCCCACCCACCCTCCCTCCCCCCCCCCACACCCTTCCCCCCCTCCCCCCCTCCCCTCCCCCCACCCCCCCCCACCCCCCCCCCCCCCCCCTCCCCCGCCCTCCCCCCCCCCCCTACAGCCGCCCCTCCCAACATCCCTCCCCCCCCCCCCCCCCCCCCTGCCTCGCCCCCCCCCTTCCCCCCCCTGGCCCCCCCACGCCTCCCTCCCCGACCCCGCACGCCCCCGACCCTCAAATACTATCCCCCCCCCCCACCCCCAATATCATCCCCTCCCCCCCCCCCCCCACCCCCCCCCCCCCCTCACCTCGCCATCACCCAAACCCACCCATCACCCCCACCCTATGCGACCCCAACTAATACCCAGCTGAGCAACCCAAAACAACCAGTTAGGTTCAGCGCTACACATAACATCCGCATCTGCTTTTCCGGCACTCTGCAGAGCCTCAAGCAAGTACTGGCTCAGCCCTTCCGCCGCGCTAAGTGGGGTCACCGAGTCAGTAGACGTGGGTTCCATAACCAACGTGGGCCATAACATTCTTTGAATAGATTTCCCCACGCTTTTCCTACGGAGAGTCAAAGGGGGCTTTCCTAATTCTCGCTCATAACTCTATTGCCGGGTATTTTCCAGTTGGGAGTAAGATATAAAGGTGGTGGATATATGTGTGATGTGGAGAGGAAGAAGGAAGTGGGGGATCTCCGCCACCCCCCTCTGCCAAACCCCCCCATTGGCCTCCCCCCAGTGTCCTCCCCCCCCCCGCCCCCAATTTTCCCCCTTTTCCCCTGGCCCCACCAGGGTTTCCCCCCACCCCCCTCTCCAATCCCCCCCACTGGCTTCCGTTGAAAAACGGATCAAATTCCCCAAAAACCCAAATTGACGTACCAAAACTGTCCACCTTTCTGCCCCGAAAACTACATTTTACTGGGCCTAATTTCAATACCCCCCAACACGCAAACTTTCCCTCCTCACAAGACCTCCTTCCTCTCTATTTCCCGGTTTTTCCTTTCCCCCAACGGCCCCCCCTCCCCGGACTTTTCCCCGGGTGTCACCCATCCTCTGGAACTCCCTGCCCAAAAACCCCTCAATTTTTCAAACCCACTCTCCTCTCCTTTTGGGCGAAAACCCGAAAAAACCCCTCTCTTCAGGGGAAACCTACCCCCCCCCCCCTGCTAAAATTGCCGACCTCCTCCACTCTTCCTAACCCCCCATTCCCCCCAAAATTTTTTCCTCCCCGTCCACCCTCCCCTTTTTCCTTGATTGTTAAACTCCCCAAAGGAACAGGGCCCCCCAGATCCCCTTTTTTTGCATTTATTGGTAATTTTTCTTCACAAAGTTCTGTCCCCCATTTAATGTACATAGGTGAGGAAATATTGGGGGCTTTAAAAAAATACTGTTTTAAAAAATAATAATTA